CTGCCGGCTGGGCCTAAACCACGTCAAGCACGTTTTAGCCAAGTTAGTCTCAATCCTTCAAAAATTACTATACCTTGTGATCATTTTGATCCTTGACTTCCCTGAAGAACCTGATGTCTTTGATAAGTCTGGATTTGATATGTTCATCATACATGAACTGACTAAAAATATAAAACTTTTTCCTCAGAAATTGGTAAGTGAAGTTTACCTAAAAGAAAAAGTCAAATCAAGAAAGTTAGCAAAGTAACAAGCATATCTAGCAACCAATTTTCAGCAGATTCCAGAGTAACTTGTATTTATGATGATGTAACTTCCTGAAATAGAACCTTCTACTCAGTTTACTTCAGTTTGTTATTCTCAACTTAGCTTTTTAATTTCACTGGTTTAAAAGAATAAAACCCTTCTCATGGAAGGCCTACTCTCTTCCAGGAAGGGCAGCGGGACCAAAGGACAAGTTAGCTACTTCAGTTTGATGACCTGCCCTACACAGCCATTAGTTTATGTCTGGAATATCCTGTAACTGTCCTTTTGAAGCAATACCAACGTTTCTAGTTGAAAAGGGCAGACAAGCTCAACTTCCTCAGTTAGGTTGTGGTATATTCATAACCTCCTGACACACCTTTTCACTTCCTCAAAGTTTTCTGCAGTACTCCCAGGAGGCAGAAGCACAATTCTACCCTAAGCATCTCAATTACTGCTCATGTCTGCATAAACAACTTTTATTAACTTCAGGTTGTGAGTAATCTACATCACCAGGAAATAATGTAATAGCATTTTTTTTTTTGAGTAACTAAAGTCCCCAAGATTAACTATTCCAGTAACAAGAAGAAAATCATTCTTAGAAGAATAGTGCAAGAGAAGTTATTTCCAATAGTGCAAGAAAGCATGAAAACCTTATTTTTCCTAATAATTTCCACTTTTCAAGTAATGACCATAGAGCAGGTTCAATATTTCAGCAGGTTGGTTTTTTTTTTTTTTTTTTTAAATAGAGCCAGAAGAACAGGAAAAAAGAAAACAACAAAGAAATAGAAGTTGAACAGCAGATTGGAAAGCACCAACCTGAAAATACCTTTGACACTATATCTGAACCCGAGAACGACACACATAAATTCCTGCCACAGTAGGCATGCCACAGGAAATGCCCTTACCTGCCTTGCAAAGAGGTAAATGCCTTCGGCTGGTTAAAATGAGCACTTATACTACAGACATCATTAAAAGCATTGCAGTAAGAAGTCACAGGCTTCCAATAAATGATCAGAGATCTGTATCATTTTTTTCGCAAATTAAAAGGTAACCTGTCTTAAGTTTAACGATAACAAGAGGAACTTAAAAAAATTAACATTGCGATTCTTCAAGATATGCTTTAACTGCAGCAAAAGTAACTGCCTACTGTTAATAAGAAACTTAGAACGTGCTAATTTATGCAGGCAGCTTAGAAATTAAAATATTTTACTATGCCAGTTTGATAAGTAGTATTTACCTTTACTGAAATTCAGAGTCCCACCAAACATCTATATGTTCTTTAATGTGTTTTTAGATCTCTTCATTAACTTCTATGGAACAATTGGAAGTGGCACAACTCCCAAGAGATTGTGATACTGATTTGTGTCATGTCCAAGAACTGATTTGTTTTCTGAGCACACCCAGAACATTATTATTGCATTATTAAAAACTGCACAACCAAATAAATCATTAGGACATGCAAGAGTTTGAAGGCTTTTGTGCAGTATTGAAAAAAATCCAACAACGGTTGCAAAGATACTCACTGTTGTGTTCATGATTCCTGTTCCATGAGTTCGAATTGAATTAGCAATGTGTCGGATATTGATAGTGTTCAAGTGTTTGTTATTACTTGTTCTTTCAATGAAGATCTGGGAGGCGGGGGGTGGGAGGAGAAGGCAGAAATAAAGTTATTTACCCAAAACGAATTCTGTGATAAATTATTAACCTTGGTAGCCCATATCCTATTTCTGAGAACTGGCAATTAGGGAAAAAACTGGGAAAATAAAGCATGTATACAATAAACTTTATTTGGTAGGTTCTTCCAGTTTCTGCAAAGCAATTCCAAGGCAGTTGATGTACCCAAACTCTCACATTTATTGAGAGTATATCCTACATTAATTGGTCTAAGCTCTTTTGGACCCTTGTTTGTACTTTTGGCCCCATTAGATACCATGGCAAATGAGTTTCACTACTGAATTATGTGCTATGAGAAAAAGTACTTCCTTTTCTTTAAGAAAGCCTCTCACTTCCATAGTGGGCCCCTCATTCTCACACTGCGAGAAAAAACAAAGGGTTGTTCCCTGTATGTGTTCTCCATGTCATTTACTACTTCATCTCTCTAATAACCCATTTTCAGATACCCTTTTTTGAAGCTGAAAAATCACGTACTTAGTATGTCCTTATATAGCAGCCAATTGCTGCCTTCTCCTAGCTTCATTGGAATATTTGACATGGAGTGATCCTACTAGCACACCGTACTCAAAATATGCTTGGAGAACATTCTCTGAGACCTATCCACAACATCCCCAAAAATGTTTTTCTAAAGCAGTAATAGGTATTTTACAGCTTGTTATTATGTATGTTCAGCTTGGGTTTTTCTTACATGTATACTGCTCAGCATTCCTTAATCCCTTCAAATCAGAGCCAAATCTAGGAAAAAAATATGGGATATACCTTACCTGATTATTCAGATTGTAGAGGTAGCGGGATACAAAAACATGAATATTTCTCATGATTTCCAGAACATCCAGACCCTGAAACAATATTATCTGTTGAGAATTATTACGATAAACAAGTTCAAGAACTACTGACATGCCTAACCACTAAGGTGCACAAATACTATTTCTGTAGTTACTTGAAAGCACTTTAGAAAGCAATGTTTTCAGTTTGCAACATGAAAAATCTCCTAACAATTTTTGTTCAGTGTCTGTAAGATAACGCTTAGAGGAGAAAAAAGCAGCTCAGCTCACATTTTAACATTTGCGCTTCTGCCTGTTTTTTTCCAACTGCCCTGAAAGTAAGGAATCTTCCAGTCTATTCCACAAGCCCCAATTAAAAAAAAAAACGAACAACAAAAAACCCCACCAACCCACAACAAAAAAACAAAGAACAAAATTGAGATTTGGCTGTTCACAGATTCCAGAAAATGGAATCTCATCTTAAGAGATTTCTACAGGCACATAGATTTCTACAGAGACATAGGCAACTAGCTACTTTTTGATATTGTTTTGCCCAAACCATCTAGAAGACTGAAGTTTTGTATTTTTAATGTAAGTTTACAATTGTTTTGCTTGAAGGAGTTTCTTTAGTATCATTGTACTTAGAGAGGATGCTATTTAATCTATACACTCTATTTTCAATTATGTCAAAGATTTTATCAGGATTTTACTGGGGCTGGCGGGGGATGGAGCATGGAGTGCCTTTGTTTTGAAGTAAAGCTCATGCCAGAATAAATGTTATGAAACCAATGTTGTGAAATAATTTAATTCTTTCTAACAACATGATGGTCAAATATTGCCAATAGAAAGCTATTCCCCAAATGAGGGAACGAAGCTAACTGCCAAAAACATCCAAGATATCTTGAAGGAAAGTCTTCAGAAATACGCAAGTTGTACTTCTTTTGCACTGAGCCTAAAACAGTGAATACCTTCCCCATTAACTTGATGAAACTATAAATTTATGTGTAATTATATTCAGCAGTTTCTAAGAGGCTCTGAGTATTAAGCTAAGCACCAATGTCCTAAAGTCCCCGATGTTCAGCCAGTGAAAGTTTCTCGATGATCACTACACAGAACCTGCCGAGAAGCAAGCAATGAATCCAGGAAGAGACCCGCCATTCAAAGGTCATTCCAGACTTGGAAAGGTTGTATTCCAGACATATTGCTTGCCAAAATGCTGATACTGAATTTTCATGAAAACGTTCTCTGAATTTGTATACCAATTTCATTTTATTAAAGCTTATGTTAAAAAATGAATGATACAAGTCCAACATGAAGTTAACTGATATTGGTGTTATCTCCAAAAGTATATAGAGACTCTGTCTCAGAAGTCAACCAGGAATTAAAGGTCACTTTTTCCAAACAGTTCTCTAATCTTTGGGTACTTCCATTTTAACAATTGGGTCCTCTAGCTAGCTAGTATGACAGTATAATGTAACAAAAAGATATTCCTATCTTGTGAGCACTGTACCTGTTCCAGAGTCTGGCTAGGAAGATGTGCTTCAGTCATACTTAAACCATAGCGTTGAGTTGCTAGGTTTCTCATTTCACTGTAGGTGGCCCAGTCATGAAGAGCTACAGTTGTTAAGTTGTAGAAGGTCTTGTCCAAATAGTGAGTTACATAAGCTGTAGACACATAAAAGGATGAACTAAAATACTACTACTTATTGAGTTACAGAAGTGTGGAAAGAAGTGAAAAGATATACTAAGCCAAGTGTAACAGAGATGAAAATAATGGAATCAAGAAAACATATAACTTCTCACCTTTTATGTCAATGAATCGATTGAAAAAACGTATTGGGTTCAGAAAGAAGAAGTGAGCTAGGTCCTTCATGCCAACTCTGAAGGGGTTTCTGTCATCCAACTTTAGGTGTGTATGAACTGATAAGCGCAGGTCCTTTTCAATCTCTTTACATAATTTGTCCAGCAAGTGCTATTCAGGTAAGTTAAAAAAAACTCACATTCAGTTTCCACTTACAATGCTCCGTTGGCAGAACTAATGCCCCTCTCCAGAGATACATAAGAGACCCATTGAAGTAGTGAAGACAGTTTTGCTTTGGCAGGGACACACACGTCGCACTGAATCAATACTTGGGAACCAGAAGTATATTTAATTCCTGTGTTCTTGTTCTACTATACAACAGCAAGAACAAGCTACACAGCAGTAGAGGTTTAGCCACCCAATGCCATTCTGTACATGATTAAAAACTTCCACACAGGCATTTAACAATTTAAACTTAAGTATTCTCACTTCTCACCTTAAGTGGAACTAGGCTTAGGGCTATCTATCTAGATAATAGTAAGACCTAACTCAGTGAGTAAGAGTCTTGCAATAAGCAGTTTGGCCTGATTTTCTGCAGAATATGTGAGATGTTTGGTTTTGAACTAGTCAAACAAAAAAAAAAGAAAAAAGAGTGGTTCAAAGGTTAAAATCTAGGACTTACAAAACGTGAATTCACATTTTCTTTCTGTCAAACATCCTTTGCAATTCTAGATGATAATTCACTAAGAAGAGGTCACCTACATTTATAGAGCCTTCACTACTAAAAGCCACGCATACATACTAAGAACAACAGTACTTATTTTAGGCATTCATACAAGCAGAAGCTAATCTGACAAAAAGCACTCCTCTGTCCCAATAGTCAAATCCGTAACTGAGGTTTTGCCAATTTACGTAATTTCAAATGCAGTATTTTCATGTTCCCAGCCAACACAGATACCATTAACAATAGGTCTTAAATAACCAGAAATCCCTGAACATTTTCTTACTTATTAAAATACTCCATGCCATTCTCAAAGGTCTCTGTGCTATTTTTATAGATTGTATCAGGTTTGGTACAATAGATGCTGGTTTATAAAGATATTCCTAGCATAGTGTTGCCTTTAATTTCCATTTACAATAAAATTACCTCATTGAGCACTTCCATGATTTCTTTGTCATAGCATTCCAGAAGCACCTCGTAAGATTCCAAGTGTCTTGCATTCATCATAGCAGGTACACAGTCCCGTAGTGCACTAAACATATACTGAAAAAAGAAGCTATTATGCTTAAACAGATTGACATGTCAACAGCATCACAAATAGTGTTCAAAGCTAACAAATAAATCAAAATCACTAGTCACTTTTATTAAAAATAGACTTCATAAACCCTACTGAAGCTTCCTGTCAATGTGTTCATCTGAAGTATTTAGTTGCTACTAATCTGTTTACTGGAAGGTCATAATTATTAGCTATTTCATCTGAAATTATTTGCACTATAATCATTTTAATACTGTAATTGACCATGGGATATGTGGTACTGGAATAGACAATGGATTTTTATCAGGATTAGTATGCCAAAGCGTGATTCACTTCTGCAGCAAATACTTGATACTTCAAAGAAGGGAGAACAGAAGAGGGGGGTAGAAAAAGCTACAAGACAACTATCCCACACAGCAGCACTGAAACAGAGCGATATGTGTTTTAGAAATATGCAACCACAATGTGGAGCAAAGACTTTTAATGTTCAAATCTAGCAAAAGGTGCTCATTTCAAATTAGAATGAATGAAGAGAGTAACAAAGAGACAGAAAGACACATAAAGACCCAAAATTAACAACAGCAATCTGAGATTTTTAGAGCAATCTAACAGATACACTTTAATTAGATTCGGAACAAAGACTGCTTTTATATCCTCCAGATTGAGAAGAAATTTCTGCCTCAGTAGTAACTCTTGCCTGGGTTAAACTTTTTTTTTTTTTGAGCTTTTTCCTTAAGAGTTTCAGTCTAAGCTTTATCCTTTCCTCCTCTGAATCACTCCCACTACAGTGGCTTGTTGAACTAAGTTACTAACATTATTACTTACATGCAGTCTAGCAGAATCAACAGCATTTTCATACACATCATCTAAATAGATTGGAAAGACTGCTCGATGCCAGTATAAGAAACAACAGTCACATTGTGCTTGAATTCTAGAATACAAGATTACTTATTAGACACAGAATTGGAAGAAGTCATTCTTCTAACACAGTGATATTTATTTTGGTGTGTTTAAACTAAATACAACTGCATTTCAAGCCTAAGTTTTACATGGTTACTTCAATATTCCAGATGCATTGCCCTTCAAAAGAAAGTTTTTGAATAAAGAACTTTTTGTTTATAATCAGTCTAGTGGAAAAGATGGGGAAAAAAGGTACCTGCTTTAGAAATAAGGTTACTCAGTCTCTGAAATAATTAAATCTTACATTACAGCAAAATCCTAAGTAACCATTTTCTTATTGCACACAATTAGTAGCCTAGAAGTCAAACATATATTGTAAGTTTCTCCTGTAAGTCAAAAAAGAGAAAAACTGTGTACGACACTTTTCCCAGAAGTTTGTCCCATGAGTCATCCACTGCAGGTGTTTGTCTCTCTCCATAAAGTATGCATGGACCCCAGATACTCACCTGGCTTTCAGACAGCCAACATTACGGAAATCAAGCGTTCACCAAAACTATAGCAACAGTAAAACATGGTGTCACATGTGACCTAACAGCCTAATTTCCCAAAGAGACTGGTATTAACTCATGACTTCTGTGTTTGGGTTAAGAGGAAGACTTTAGCTTAACATAAAGCTGAGCCATCCAAGAAAGTGACAGAATTTCTAAACAATCAGAGAAGGGGATTACCTAATTGGCAACAGTTAGGTAAAATATGACTCGTCCAAAGACCAGCAAGCTTCAGGCTTAGTTCTAGAATTCTTTCTGTCCATCCCTGGTCTACAATACACACAAAAACCACCACCAGCATGCATCTATCAGACTTTGCAATTCCCACAGTCAAGACCCAGCTCCCCCAGTGACATTATACTGCCTTCTATACACATCATGTGCTGCTGCTTACCGCTCTGTAAGTTCACTGATCAAGTCTAGTTTTTTCAGGACTAACTGAAGGGGAATGAGTTCTTCATCTTTAAAAGTTTTCTGTACAAATAAAAGAGACCAGATTATTATTTCTTTATAAGATACTACACCAAACAAGTAAAGGTCTGAAACAATCATGGCACTTACCATCTGTGTTCCCACACTCAAGGCAAGGGAAACAATTAGTCGCCTCTGTTTTGTACTTGGCCCATTGAGGGTGTTCTCAGCCAACACCAAAGCAGACAGGACATCCAGGCGTTGCTCACTGTACTTTTTATCAGAAATTACTCTTTTCTTGATGACAAAGAAATTCAGAGAAAAAGTTACCTAAGCTCAAAAGCAATAGCTTACTATGTCTTTCCAAAGCTCATAGACTTGTCATAAATTAAGTATTTCTGCAATCAAATTATGTTTTGTGAACAGAGCTAACCAAATCCAGATTCACTTACATTGTCAATTCTATGATGTTACCTATCTATACCCTTGGAATACGTACAATTCAACGTGAACATGGGTCAGGTTATACAGTATACAAATACTGTGCAAACTGCATGTGACTGCATGTCAGTTTTAGTTCTAAGATACATGTAATTTAAATTTTTTAGTTATTTTTTAATTACTCTGTTGTTGGTAAAAAAATCCAGTTTACAGCTGAAAAACCAGAAGACATATAAACATGGTAATAACAATGACTTGCAGTTTTCTACAAATTCTAATTTATCACAAAGATTAAGTGCAAAAACATATGCATGAACAAATAAAGGGAACTAACTCCTCTGGCTAAAAAGTTGAAGTCACAGATGTATTTGTGAGTAGCAGCATAACTCAGAAGAGGTAGTTTCATGAAAGAGTTAAAGAAAAACCTCTTCCAATTCTAAGAAAGTATGTTCAATGTGAAGCTCCTAACCTTACATGCTAAAGATATGTTAGGTTTACGTCTTAGACCTTACACCACTTTGTCTCTAAATGGAGCAGGTAAAAAAAGATTATTAGTAATAAACTCTTCTATTTACCAGCATTTGTTCCTTACATATTTTCTGAAAAGTAGTCAAAATACCAAGAATTGTTCGCAGATGTGTTCTCTTTGATATTCGCTCAATACACAAGACTCAGGATATTTCTATGCATTTAGAAATAACTTGTAGCAATGTAGTTAGAGCTATCATTTGAAAAGGTTATAAAAGTTATCTAAATATATGTGAACTGTTTGTTTGAAGACACACATTTTTTCTTAGTAGCTATGAATCTTGGAACTTCTTCAGTTCATGCTACTCTTGATTTTTTATTTTGTTAATATATCAGCTTTTTAGAAGTACAATTTTTTTTTTTGCTTATGCTAGAAAATATGGAGATGCTAGATACATAAATTGAGATTACAGCCAAAGTTTCAAAAACATATCAAACTTCCAAAATACAGAAGTCTACTGTTAAAACTGTAATCCATTTACAAGAGCATGGCCAAAACAAACAAAAAAAAAAAAGAAAGAAAACTTAATAGCTGCACTGGTATCAGTAGGCTATCAGTAGCATCCTTTGATCAGTAGCATCCTTTGTAATTCTGCTACTGAATGTGATAAAATAATAAAATAATCACTAATATATCAGAACAGGTATATTAAAATCTTATTTTCCTATTTGTCCTGAATTCAGAAATTCAAGATATGCTAAGAAAAATGTGTAAACTGATCTTGTTTATAGAAAGATATAATATGTAGGTATTACAGTCTTACCATCCGAAGCCATTTTACCCCACAGCACAATAGTGAATTTATGCAAACATTAGAGTCCTATAAGCCATCATATATTAACCGCTGATATTTTTGCCAAGCAAACATTTAAATAACAGCCTGTTTGCTTAGATCTATAACAGATTGCTTTAAGAATGTGCATCAGAAAAGAGGTAAGAAAAGGTCAGTTTTAGCTTTTATTTATAATGATTTTTTCACAAAAAGAACACAAGAGGACCATGACAAGAGATGCAGCAGTTTAGAGGAAGACAGGAACCATTCTTGGTCAAAAAGGGGTAACCATCTATGCTGTACAGTTTCTAGGGCAAAGCTCTGACCCACTGGAAAGCTTATATATCTGTAGTGTAGTGCTCCACCTTAATCGACAGATTTTGCAAAAGTAAGAAAAATAATTTTAAATTAAAATTAAGATTTTTTTTTTTTTAAAAGACTTAGATAGGAAGATTAATTATTAAAACTCAGATTACATACCTTGGCTACAGAAATAGAGTGAAGAGCCTGATACTGCAGATGCTGAGTGATGTGCGTCACAGAATCTGCCACAATCATACTTCTTCGGTAAAACATGTGTTCTATTGCCTAAAGTCAATCCCAAAACACAATAGTTCATGTAGTTACCAAAATTGTTGCCTTCAGAATTTGGCTTTATGCTGACTCATCCACACTGCAAATAACAGGCTCTTTCCACTTGGTAACGTACCATTAGTAGCAGTTGCAATTAACCCTTAGAAACTGAGAAAAATCAAACCATTCAGGAGCGTAAAAAGGTTTCAGGACTGACGTGTTATTGGGCTTTTTTTTTTTTAATAATCGAGTTCTGTTTACCATTGCTTTCTGAAGTTATCTCAAAACAGAGTATTTTTCTTTTGCAAAAAGTACCAGAAAAAGTGCGAAGTCCTGCACCTGGGGAGAAACAATCCCATATTCCAATATATACAGGGAGTCATCCAGCTGGTAAGCAGCTTGGCAGAGAAATTCCAGTACTTAAAGGGTAATCCAAAGAAGATGGAGACTCCCTTTTTACATGTGGTCACATGGAAAAGACAAGGGGTAACAGGTGCAAGTTACTTCTAGGGAGATTCCAACTGGACTCGAGAGAAAAATTTTTCACAATGAGACCCATCAGCCATCGGAATAATCTCCCCAGGGAAGTGGTGGATTCCCCAGCATTGAACACTTTTCAGATTTGGCTGAACAGGGTGCTGGGCCATCTTGTCTAGACAGAGCTTTTGCCAAGAAAGGTTGGACCAGATGATCCTTGAGGTCCCTTCCAACCTGGAAGGGTTGATTCTATGAAAAGGACCTGGGGGTCATGGTGGACACCAAGTTCAACATAAGCCAGCAGCGTGCCCTTGCTGTAAAGAACACTAATGGTATCTTCGGTTGCATTAGACAAAGTACTGATGGCAGGTCAAGGGAGGTGATCCTTCCCCTCTACTCAGCACTGGTGAGGCCACACCTGGAGTGCTGGGTCCAGGTCTGGGCTCCTCAGTACAAAAGAGACATGAACATACTGGAGAGAGTCCAGCCAAGGGCCATGAACATAATTAAGGGACTGAAACATCTCATATGAGGAAGGACTGAGAGAGCTGGGACTGCTCAGTCTGGAGAAGAGAAGGCTTGGGGGAAGGATCTTATCAATGTATATAAATACCTGCAGGGAGGATGCAAAGACCACCAAGACAGGCTCTTTTCAGAGGTGCCCAGTGACAGAACAAGAGGCCGCAAGCACAAACCAAAACGCAGGAGGTTCCCTCTGAACATCAGGAAACAATGTGAGGGTGACTGAGCACTGGCACAGGTTGGTTGCCCAGGGAGGCTGAATATCTCCAAGGATGGAGACTCCACAAAAGTCATCTAGATATGGTCCTGGGAAATCAGCTCTAGGTGGCCCTGCTTGAGTAGCGGGAGGTTGGACCAGACAACCTCTGGAGGTCCATTCCAACTTCAATCATTCTACAGCACCAACAAGTTGGTTAGAAGTTACATAAAAATTGGTTCTAGCCTTCCAACTCAAACTTCCTGTTCTCTAACCAAATCTAGTCTTGAACAAGAAGCCACCCATGCAAAGATGTTCCCTGTCTCAGGGTTTTTTAGTATGTGATGTTTGATCAGTGTTCTCTGTAAACGCCTACATGAAATAAACAATTTTCATCCAGTGACCTACCTTCAGAAGTTCCACAAGTCTGCACAGAGCTTTCACCGAGGTTTTGGTCATAGGTTTTTGCACTGACATGTAGAGATTCATTGTAGTTTTAATGATGGTGCTAAGACTGTATGCATAAAGAAAGCCCTAAAAATAAAATGAGTGTGAGGATAGGAAAAAAAAAAAAGAATATTTTCACAACAAATAAGTCCTCTCTTTTCTTTCATACATGACAGACAGTTAACTTTTGCCTCTTCACGCTAGAAAATCTACCACTCCACTTCATAAGCAAGCCTGGGATCCCAAATCTGAATGACACCCTTTTATTAGGCAGACATTATGAAACTGCCTACAAGTCATTAGATCACCTGATCATTAACCTCTTCTAGAGTCATTCAAATTAAACATAGGTCACTGAATTAAAGGTCTAACAATTTCAGACCTATTGTAAACAAAACTCAAAGAACTCACATCCCCCCCAAAACCAGCCTATATCACAAAAACAATCTAAAACTTCCAGATTCCATGGAATAAATACACTGACAGTATTTATACACTTCCAAGCTTTCTAAATAGAATTGTCCATCCCACATTAAAACAGCAATCCTTTTTAAATCAATGTATGCTAAGCTTTTAAATAAAATGTTGATTACACACAGCATGACAAAAATGTTATTCAACTTATTTCAAAGGAAAAGTACTAACAATAAAACCAGAAAGAGACTAGGAAAAGACAGCAAGTGGTGTAGGAAACTCAATTTGCTACAAAGCAAAATTTTAAGTCCACTGCGAATAATTCAAATATAAAAACCACAGATCCTAGTACATGTATGTCTTCAGATATGGAAGATTCAGGATCATGCTTTTATCACACACCTATTCTTATCAGATTTCTGTCAGGCAGATAGATACATATAAAAGCTAACAAAAATAAATTCAGAAATAAGATGCATCTTACATTAAGACTACATGCTGTTAGTAGGCCAAAAGAAAACCAGCTGCCTCGGAACGTAGCAAGATTCTTGCAAAGTACCATCACTAGGCAAAGCACAATGAAACAACACAAAACCTTTACTGGAAGTATGTACTGTGCTAAATAATACTAAAGTAGATACTGGTTCAGTCCAACTTATGTGCCTCATGACTGACTCAAAAAAGAAAAAAAACCAAAACCTTTACTACAGAGTAAATGAAGCTTTCTTAATTTCCTAAGTCAAAAGAAAAATTCAAAATTTTAGCCACTGAATATTTAGTCAGATTCACTTTCCCCACACACTTTATGGAAAGGCCTTTTACAGATTAACTTAAAAGAGTATCTACTGGGCATTTAAAGTTTTAGAAGAATTCCCATATTGTAAAATAACACACTGATGATCACAGAACTTCTGTGATTTCTTCTTATGTTCAACAACTTGCACCAAAACATCAGTTTGCTGCATCACCACATTAAAAGACTGCACACCTGGATGAAGACATTGCAGCGGTTAGAAAGATCCTCAGCAAACTTATCCACGCGTTGCTCTTTTGACAAGATAGATTCCATTTTTGTCATCCATGAGCTCACAAAAACATAATATGACTGCATATCTCTGGAGAAGGAAACAAAGAACGCTGCTCACTTCAAACAAAGAGGAGTATGAAGATTTTCTTTTCTATTTCCAAAGCTTAAATTCTTGCAAGGAAAATATGTTAAATCTTCAGTCCCCAAAGTAATAACTCTCCATTCCCAAAAGTATCAGAACCTCATACTCATTTACATTTTAAGTCTCTACAGGTAAGGATTAGTCTGCCAATTATATCTGTACAAGCATACCCCAAAGAGTCAAAATCATCTATCTTTCAAGAGCACAAATGGCCTTCTTAGCAGTACATATACTACACTTCTTTAATTTAAAACAGTAAATAAAGCTGCTAGAAAATACTTCTAAACACTAGACAAAAAGAGTCCTACGCTGATGTTAATTTTTTAATATTTTATATATATATATACACACACACACCCCTTATTATATCAATACCAGACTGGACTGCTCTTAAATAACATAATTCTCCATAAATTAATCTGCTGGGATTACACTAGTTGTAATTAAATGGTTAAATAAGAGTTAACTTTTAAAACTGCTATTTATTCCATGCTACAGAATTGTGACACTGCAATACTACTTATTGTAGCAGTTACAGGAGGAATAGTCAGGCAAAAACACCAAGAGG